CATTATCCAAAAAAATATATAGGTTGCATATTTACTTACAAAACTCAAGCTTTTTTATAGAATAAGGAGTGACAGATTAGCACAGAGCCCTGATGGTAAGTGGGCGCTGTTGCCTAAATCTACATAGATCCTCGATTAAGAATCAAAATGCAAATGCGTTGTCATCCCTGAAGACTAAGATGAAATTCCTCATTTAGAGTAAAAAGGGTCGACGATTCGCCATACGAAACACAGTAGTATTTAGCTGTTATTTTAGGTTGGTATACTGTAAAAGTTTGGTACTTTCCCCGGTCGAGACGAACCATTCGTTCTACAACCATAATATAGCTGCGTGGCTCTACTACGTATATTCCTAGGAGTTAGTATTAACCATGTGTACACTTCATTTAAAACCAATTTCAATGACAGTTAATTCATAAATAGCCAAATTAAAATATGATTGTAAAAATTAAAATAATAGAGACTTATAGATGGTATTACAAATAGGAGTCAGAATGGGATAGAGTCCGTCTATAAAGAACCACCACCAAGAAAGAAAAACGTACGCTCTCTCACTGCTCCTTTTTGCCTAAGGGGTAAAAGAGTAAGAAAACCAATATAATATCAGATTTCTGGGGCATTTCATTTTACTCTTCCGGGACGATCAATTATGTCCTCCTTTGTTTGAAATTCGTTGCAGATGTAAAATACGATTCAATAAAATGTTATTGCGTGCTAATGACAGTTACATATTTTAAGAAAAAAAAAAACAAAAATTCAGCCTATATAAGTCAACTTTGAAATAAGTACGTTTCCCGCTTTAAGTAACGACGTGTTGGTGTTGCCACTCTAAAAACCTCAAAGTGCAGCAAACGGCAAGTAGGTTAGTTGGTTAAAGACACGCGATTTGCTGCTGTAGATCTAGTTGAGGCTATTACGTTATTAACATAGTATCAATATTAAGTTTACGATTAAATGTTAAGAGCTTATTAAGCTTAGCTAGGCAAAACAAATTAGTAATAAATAACGACAAAATCAAAAGTGTTATAATGAATATGAGATAGATAGATAAATATCATTTACTGTGAGAGTATTGAATAGAATTTTTTTAAATTAAATATAAGTTACAAATTGAGCCGTGGAGCTGTAAATTTCACAGTACACAAGCAAGCCGGTTTCTATCACCGTCGGCACGGTGAAGCTGCACGGTGCTGGACGATGAAGGAAATAATCTTGAGGTGAGGAAATAAAAGTTTGTATAAGCAACACATATTAAGCAAGCTATATTTCGCTTTTAACATGTAGAAAATACAACGTAATCAATTTTTTTTGCTTTGACATACACTTCTCAGGCCATTGAAAAAAACCCAATCGAAATCACACAAAATTCACAAATCATTCCGTCAATCTGTCAGTAATTATTTGTTGGCAACATTTTACAATTCTTTAGCGACAAACATTCTTATGTATGTTTTACTCTAAGGGCGACAAAGTCTGCTTTGTGCGACTGTTTGACCACAGACTATTATGTGTTTGACATTTTCAGTATAAACGTAGACAAACGACATACTATTATATGTTTGAATGTTTTATTTGATTTCGTATGTATTTGTAACATATATTATATAATATAAATTTTGTCTTTTTGCACCTGCTTTGCATTCTGCACATAAATTTTAACTATGCTAGTTTTCACTTCACGTATTAATTTATATATATTTCTAAGGCATGTAAACTCCGGCAACACGGATTTGGATAACGCGGCGAACATTTCCTTGCCTAAACCATCTCAAAAATGAGGGGAGGCCTGCGCCCAGGAGTAGAACGTATATTACTGATACTATACTTTTAGCTATAGATTACAAGTTATACTTTCTGACAGACATAGATATTTTTTTAAATATGACATACATACACATACAACACGAACATACACACAAACACGTCTGACATCCAGAGGGGACGGCAGAAACAACGGACTTCCATTTGGCATGATCCTGACATACCTCTCTCTCTAAAATCTTAATTAATATTATAAAAGTATTTTCGTCTTTTTTTAAATGTACGTAACATACTACCTCCGAACTAATTGAACCGATTGTTGATTTTGAATTTGACGATTGAATACAGAATGTTTGTAGTAGTTTCAAAGGATTAAATAGAACTACTTCCGCTTATAATTTAAATCTATTGTTTTTTTTAATAATCGGTTAAAACTTATGTGAACACAAAATCATTAAAATCAAATCAAATATTTTTTTTAGAAAACGGATGCTTCAAAACATTTTTATGTTTGTTTAACTGTAATAAGGTGTTAAAATCCCACAGTTATTAGACGCCATTGTCCATTGCCTGATTACGACTTAAAACGACTTAAATATACCTACGAGTACTCGTATGTCAATAGAACTCCGCCCTCCACAATCCCCATATATTATACACAAAAAGGGTTCATTTTAAATAGCACGATTATTTTAGTAATACATTAAGCTAGAAAAACATTAGCTTTGATTAGTTTTAGTAAGACTGGGTAAGGCTCTCCGCGAATTCATTAGCAGTATAACCTTTATTATATTCAAACGGCTTGAGATTTTGTTTTTATAAAATAAGGGTAACAAACGAGCACACAGTCCACCTGATGGTAAACGTACGTCTATCCTCGATTAACAATCAAAATGCTGATGGAATGCCTCATTTTCATTAAAAAGGGTCTCCGGTTCTCTACGCTCACCATGCGAAACACAGCGGCATAAAGCACTATTTTACGCCGGTATTCTGTGAGCGCGTGGTGCTTCCCCGGTCGAGATGACACATTCGTGCTACAACCATAATATAGCAACAGTATGGCTCTACTATTCCCAGCAACAGACAACACAATCAAGCATGGCTCTTTCACGCGACTGTTTGACCACAGACTATATATATATATATATATATATATATATATATATACATATTATAATTAACATTACGCGTTATATATATAAAATAAAAAATAAAAAAAGCCTTTTATTTCTTGCTCTTTTTCATAATATAGATTCACAGTTTGAAACACTGTGCATGTAAAAATTATTTGGCCCAGTGTAACAAAAGTTAAAATTTTTGTACTTTTGATATTTATGTTGATGACTTACAATTTCATTAATTAATTACAATAAATTACTTCTTACTTCTAGTAGAAAATTAAATTTTTCTAAAATTCGCACACAGTGTATAATTAGTGTACGATTGCAAGAACCCCTCATTAAGGGAGGGTAAAGGCCTCCTCCAGAGATGACCAATGTTCTCGCATCCAGTGGGTACCTGCTATTTTTATAATGTCGTCTGTCCAGCGCGCGATTGGTCTACCCCTTTTTCTTTGGCCTGATGGTCCCAACCATGATGTTTTCTTTATGGTCCAGCGATTGTCAGTAAGTCTGGCTATATGTCCGGCCCATCGCCATTTTAGTTTCTGTGAGTAGCTGAGAGCGTCGATGGCTTTAGTTTTCTGTCTTATGACAGTATGGCGGATTTTTTTGATCTTCTTAATCTTCATAATGCTTCTTTCCATACTTCTTATATATATATATATATTAGCTTGCCAGGCAGACGTTGAATTCTGCCCTTTTCGACGACCCTGTCATGTCCTATTAAAAATCCTTAAATACGCTAAAAAATTGTGGGTCACTCATGGGCAAAAAAAGACTATCCTATCTCTCAAGTTGGATCAAACTGAACGCGGTGTGCAAATTTGATTGAAATCGGCTAAGTAGCTTAGGAGTCCATCGCGGACAAACAACGTGACACGTAATTTATAGAAATTTTATATATATATATATATATATATATATATATATATATATATATAAAAAAAAAAAAAAAAAAAATAAAATGGAGAATATTCGGCTAAATCACCGAACATTCGGTAAAGTAGTATACTTAGTGTCCACTGTAAAGAAATGTATGAATTGACTAATGCTATGTCTTTCATAATTTTACTGTTCAACGTATATTTTATTTATGGGTTAAATCTACTTGTATTATTTTTAGATATATTATATATTTAGATTTATTTTCAATTTTATAGCAAATAGAAAGGTTGATAAAATGGTTTTGGAATTAAACAAAGAACATACAAAAATACATTACATAGTAATCACTTTACTTTTCTATTTCTCGAAATAAATCTAAATAAAAATACCAGGCCCCCAATATATATATATAAAAAAATAAAAAAAAAAAAAATGTTTGTTTGTTGATAGAAATACGTAAGAGAGCGACATCTACCCAGACGGACTCCTAGGTAGTAGCTTATATAGCACCTTAATGCTGCTGTGTCGCGTATGGTGAGTGCAGAAAACCGAAGACCCTTTATACTGGAATCGAGGCATTCGAACTCAGTCCTCAGGGTGACAACGCATTAGCATTTTGATTCTTAATAGAGGATACATGTCTATGGGCCACAGCGTCCACTTACCATCAGGTGGACTGTGTGCTCGTTTGTCACCCTTATTCTATAAATATAATGTGGCTAATAATACTGTAATAATACCGTATGTAAAAATTCCGTACGGCAACTCGGTGCAACAAATTCGTATTTGCTACCCCATGCGTTTTCACTCCAGTGTAACTTTTCCATCCGCCTATATTTCTATTCGTACTGTATGCGAACGTACGAAACTCTTTCATAGTCCACGCTAGCCCTTCCAGCCGAATCTGAAGGATCACTAGAAATAACTATATAAACATTTATAAATAAAATGCGAACGAGGAAGCTGCAGGCAACGTGAATTAGGACGAGTGTGATGTTTCAAAGGAAACGCGTCGAGCAGAACAAACATACGAGAGTAACTAAGTTTACAGTTTGAAAAAATATTGGGCAAATTGGTTTACATTAATTTTTTTTAATAAGTTAATTTGCATGGCGTGTGTAGAAAACTTTATACGAGATTACTTCTATCAACCTCTTGAAGAAGATATCTACACAAATCTGCTTTGAGAAATATCGTAATAAGAGTAAACGATCAATTTATTTCACTTACCTCTACCACTTGCCGCAGATCCTCGACGTATACTTTTTCGGTCTGGACGATCTCAGCACACACACGCTCCAGTTGTGACAATCCAGACATCTCATCCGTGGTCTGCTGATCTGCAATTAATCCTTTTTGTTTTACACTTTTTATTTTCTTTCATTTACATACAATATTATCCGTTGTGATTACTGCCATAGGTACAGCGTCACGCCTTACGGAAAACCTATCTTGCAATAAATGCAGTAGTTTATGTTTAGATTTTTTTCATCATGTGTGAATTTGAAGTACACAGTTGTTTTGAGAATAATCTTTTATCTTTTCTCTGCATTATTAATATTTATATTAAAATACTCGACAATTACAACGTAATAAATAACGTAAGCCATGTAGTGCTATGCATAGTTGAATACTCCGGAGCAAATCCGGGTATTATTTTAAGTGATTTAAAAAAATCACATTTTTGAAGTCATTTTATCGACTTGATGGTAATTCCATGTGTTTATCATCAAGGTTAGTTAATCGATTTTGCTAATAGCTTAGCAGAGATCCCATGTAATTTCAACCATTTATTAATTTCATCATTTCGCCGCTGACGTCGCAAAGGGGCGAACCTCAATTTATAAAAAAATACAGGATAGATTTATTACAGCCCGTCTCCCTTCCATGGCGAAACGTAAACCTCCCCTATACAACATGTAACAAAAAATCTGTGATTCCCGTTGAGTGCGTTGTCGGAATCAATATTCAAACATATAGAATTTTTTTTTCAGAATCCTTGAACACTAAAAATTTAATTTAATTAAAATCTATTTTTATTTGCAAATGATATGCGGTTTTCTTACTTCTAACTGAGACAAGCATCATTAAAGCGGGATTTTTGACAATCCTCATACTCCCCGGACAACACAGAAGTAATAAAATCACATACGATTTGCATTTTTTTTATCAAACTTAAATTTCTAGTGGTCAAGTTTTCTGAAAAAAAAAACCTACGTCTAATGCGTTTAAATACTGATTCTGTAAGGCGGTGGTCTCCTATAAACGCCATCGGCCGCTTACAGCGTCACGCCGTACGCCGCGTTACGATGCTTACTATAGAAATGTACTGTTGTGGTCTCTTACACAAGCTGATGTCGGCGTATGGACGTCGTAGGCGGCGTTAAGACCCTTTGCGCTGCGTCTCTAGAGTAATCTATGGTCTCTACTCTCTAGTTATTTCGAACCATTGCAGCGTGAAGGTCGTGTCTAGCGTCAGTACAAAATGACAAAATTTAACAAAGAAAAAGATGAGTTACTGTATTATTATTATGTTTAAATTGTTCCTGATTAATACGAAAATATTCAGTAAATTTAGAATTGCTGTCTTTTAAGTGCTTTATTATCAATAGCTGGAAACATCCTTCTTCATATCTCTTCATAAATAATCGGTGCCTTGTTGCATTTATTTTTCTTCGTATACGGTCGCCTTGTGCCTCTTCTTCAAGTAACACAAGCGCCCCCAAAAGTATTGAATTTATATCCATTTTATGTACAAATATGGCACACAACCACACGTGAGCACTGTCGGCTACTTAATTGTTGCTCGATCGACAGTCTAGACGTCGTCCGTTTGTAAGATATGTATCGACCGCTTTGACGCTGTGTCTGGCGTTCAGACGCCGATCGGAACGTTTACGCTGAAGTCGGACGTCGCGTATAGCATTTAATAGGAGACCGTAGCCTTACCGCACTTAACGGAAACAACAGGGTTTTTGTGATGTGTTGTTTATTGTCTCATAGAGCGATACTTGCTACGGTCGCCACACTTGTCAGGCGTGTTGCTACAGCAGTTTTCGATTGTAGAAAGACGCCATTTGTACGTCTTCTGTTTCGATTTCCTCTGTCGTCTCTTACGACACCAACGAGATGATATCGGGTAGTGGTTTTCCTTATTTTTTTATTTTTTAGTATAGGGTGACAAACGAGCAGACAGTTCACCTGATGGTAAGTGGATGCTGTGGTCCATAGACATCTACATCTATCCTCGATTAAGAATCAAAATGCAGATGCGTTGTCACCCGTGAGGACTAAGATGAAATGCCTCGTTTCCAGTGAAAAGGGTATCCAGTTCTCTACACTCACCATACGAAACACAGCAGCATTAAGCTACTATTTTACGCTGGTATTCCGTGAGTGTGGTCCTTCCCCGGTCGAGCCGACCCATTCGTGCTACAACTATACTACTAATATAACTGCAGCATGGTTCTACCACGTGAAAAATCTTATGCCGCTGCTACACTTTTTGTTATAGAATAAAGTTCACAAACGAGCACAGAATCCAGTTGATGGTAAGTGGACGCGCTGTAGTACACACGAAGGACGAAGTCGCGGGGAACAGCTAGTGATAAAATATAATCCTACACTCCCTTACTTGTAATGGACCATTAATATTTTATATAATTTTTTATTAGCAACTTACTTGGCATATTCTCCGAGCACCCCCCATTAGACACGCTAGCATTTAAAATGCCTGCATTATTTACAAAATTGTTGCTCCCATTAGCAGACGTCATGTCGGCATCGCTGTGGTCGTCTAAACTTTCGATCGATGCGAGGTAAGCGGAGTTCACCCCTCCTTTGGTTTGAACACCGCTACTTGATGTCGAACTTGAAGATGCAATGGAACTCATTGACAAGGGCCTCGTTACTTCTACGATTGGTGGGTTTAGTCTTGTCACTTCTTCTTTTTCTTGTATCGCACATGATTTCAAGTTGCCTGTAGATCCTATAACTTCAGGGTAAGGCACTGTTTTCATTAGCTTATTTTGGGCAGTTTCGTTTGTAGTATTTGAATTCTTTCTATGTAAGCTATTTGTATCAACATTCACAGCTGCGGCTAGTTTTGCAGGAGATCCTATCGGTGAAGGCTTTGTTACAGGTTTATGAAGAGAATTTTCTTTTGATGTGAGTTTGATATCAAACTCTCTATCGTTGGATGATATAGAGAGTTCGATAGATTGATCAATATACGGCAAAGATAGTGATTCGAATGCAGTTTTGTTTGAATTAGGAACGTCATAAATCGCCGGTCTGTTATTCGTGGGAACATCATAAGTTTGGTCTGAATCTATTTTAAATTCTGGTTTTACAGTTACATTTTTCAAGGGCGATTCATATCTCTCTTCTACAGCAACTTTAGGTAAGCTTTTCAGTCCACACGGCTGGTCGTATATTTCTACAGATGGCAGTATATCAATTCCCGATTGGCCAGATATTTTTGAAGTAGCTCCTACAAGAGGAATGTTACACCTATGTCTCGTTGACGATCGGATCGTATTAACACTTTTCTTTTGTAATTTTAATGTAGTAGTCTCAGACGCACTTGATATCATTCGTTTAACATTCGGAGATAGATTGTCAAATGTAGTCGTTTCAGATAGTTGTTTGGTTTCTTTAAAAGTCCTTTGTAATTTCTGTTCTTTAAAAAGTACGTTATCACTGGGTGTAAGGTCACGTTTGTTGATTTCACTAGCACCATTATTATCACTGTTAGTTCGGATATTATAAAGAGAACTTTTATTTACAGTTGCAATCGGCAATTTAATACTGCCCGCTATTTTAGAAGGGTCTTTTGGTGGGGATCTTGAAACATCTGGATTGTTTACTTCGTCTTTTGTTTTGTCGGTCATGATGCGCGTTTGGTTTGCAACTGGTGGATCATTTCTTGCATCTTTGGCGGTTTCTATGCGACTCGTTTCAGGTCTTAGACTCTTAGCCGGCTCTAAAAGCGAATCGTAAATACCGATCAGCGTTGGCGTGAGATCTGTCGTGCTACCTGCAACAAATAAATAATATTTAATTAATTAAGATTTTAATTGAAAACTATATAACATACAACAATCAAGTTTAAAGTGAAGACTTAAAAAAGACAAAAATACGTGCTTTTTAAGAATTAAATTTCAAAAGTAAAGTGGTTTAAATAATTGCCTTAAAATACAATATAATATAGATATATTTTACGGTACTGAAGTAACATAAAACCCTTACCTAACACAATCATAAAAGAATAAAAGTTTCGATTGTTATCTACACACGCTGTCAGGTTTATGTCATTCGCTAACAAAAAGGCTTTTAAAGTTATTAGACGCATACTTTGTGATGGCTCGTGACTACGACTATAGGGGACTTGGTTTATCCGTTTTTCTTTTTAGGGCGTCGCGTCGTGCGAACGAAATATGTATATACAAAAATGGAAAATGGAAAGCTTACTTATTTTGAAAAAATATTCGATTTTTATAGCAATAAGAGTGACAAACGAGCGAACAGTCCGCGCGATGAATAGTGGATACTTTGGCCCATAGACACCCACATCTTTTATCGAATAAGCATCAAGATGCATAAGCGTTGTTGTCATTCCTGAGATACAAAAATGGAATGCCTCGTTTCCAGTGAAAGAACTAACTCGTAACTATATAGCAAATTACAGCATTCTTCTATCATTTTACGGTGGTATTATGTACCCCAATTGAGCCAGCCCATTCGTGCTTCGGCCATAACATGTTATAATCTTTTAACTATTCTAAACAAATGCTTGACTAATATCACGCGTGATGATTTTACTACCTTTTAATTACGTGTTTTATATTATGATGCTTATAAGGATGATGATGTTCTTCAGACCCATTCATAGAGCATAGACCCGCATTTTACAGCATTACAAGTGCTAGCGTAAACATAAAGGCACTTATTTGTCCTAACCTCACCGTTTTCGACCATTTTCACTACCAATGCAATGTCAGAGTTTTGAAGACATCTACAAAAACAATCAGAAGCGAAAAATGGCAACACACCTGTAATTCGCTTGGTGTTTCAGCTGTTCATGGGTGGCGGTAATCACTTACCATCAGGTGAGCCGCACGCTCTTTTACCACCCCGTATATAAAAATAAAACATATGGTGCATCTGCACAAATGTTGACCCCACTGGTAGGATATAAATTCATGACGCGCGAAGTTATGTGGTTGCGCCCTCCTTTCTGCCAAGCAGGGTCGCGTTCGTATACGGCTTAGAGATCTCTAGTCAGATCGTTAAGTCATTTCCTAAAAGGCGGTGTTTAGTGGGTAAAAGTCTCCACATAACCACGCAGCCGGCTGCGTGGTATGCTATGAGCATTCACCGCCTCCCTCCCCCGCTTTCCGGAGGGTTGCCCATATTTGCTTCGGGCGCAAAAAAAAAAAAAAGTTATGTGGTCGAAACAAAATAAATGTCTTTATTTTATCATAGATCAGTCATTAAATGCTTTAAATTGTTTTCGTCTTCATTCTTTTCTAACAGACTCTCGTCTTGTCGCCAACTATCCAAAATCCATTAAGCTCCAATTTGTGGTATCTATTTAAAGGGACAACACTTTAAACATGGTCCTGGTAAATGTCGCTCAAATGGTTTCCTAACAAAAAGGGACATAAATCGCCCAAGGCGATCAAAATTTACATTACAATAAAAAGTATATGTGTACATCTCATTCTAGATACCGGGAACCCGGAGGCTAGGTTCACAGCGTGAAATGGAATGTCGGGACAAGTCCGAGTCTTTAATTCTAATTTTAATACTCTGTTTAGCTGAAAGTTAAGATTAAAAAATAATATAATATCATAGCACTATGTAATCGTAAACGTATACATTTTCTGGTAACATTCACTGTTGATAATAAAATCTCTGCATTATAACAGTGTGCAAAAGATTACCGCTAAACGCAGGCACACACATTTTGGATAAAGAAAAAAGTTTCAAAAATTATCTAGTCGAAAATATAGTATCATCACCAGGTTGCATCACCAGGTTTCGTTTTCAGTTCCTCTGTCGCTGCATCATGTAAATGTTATGATGGGCTGCATTCTTCACGATAAGAAAAAAAAAAGATCGCCACGTGGAAATTGGCGTTGAAATAACCATTCAAGAAATTGTAATCTTCTCGTCCAACATACCTCAGAATCATAAAAAAAATAAGTTTAACCAGTGTATTTCCAGAGAATGTATTATAGAACTGAGTCGTGGTCCTTTATTGTCCGCACTAACATGCTATAGATTTTATTGTAGTTTCCCTGCGTGATAAAACTCGTAACGAATATACCAATACAAAAATAACTGATGTAGTTCAATGGATTAGTAACCTGGAGTGGCAATGAGCCGGGCACATGGCTCGAAGAACCGACAAGCGAAGGAGAAGAAAAGTTCAAGCTAAAACCTTGTAAAAAAAAGTAAAGTTACAACTATATACGTCCCACTGATGGGTACAGTCCTCCCCTATATTCTGAGAGGGTTTTAAGGCAAGGAAGTATCCGCCACGCTGCCCCAATGCGTATTGGAGAACTTCACATGTCTTCGAAATATTTTTTTTTCTTATTCCTCAGACATGCAGGTTTCCTCACGATGTTTTCCTTCACCGCCGAGCACATGGTAAATCAGCACTTAAACAACAATTTTATTGGTGCCGGTGGGGATCGAACCCGGTTTACTCGCGTTCTGTTATATTTACAGCGAGCGTTAACCATCTGAGCTACCACGGCAGAAACCTTGTACTAGTAAGTAATTGTCCTACTGGTAGAATAACCCTCGCTAGCTGCAGCAATCGATGGAGATAGCCGATGTAAGCAGGTGGCTTAGCACCAAAGACTTTCAATATATAGGTACTAGAAAATGCGGAACTGTGCTGATGCTATATAATTTATTGAGAAGACAATTCAGCAGTGGATTAGTGATGGTCTTAATTATGAAATAAATAAATATATGAGATGATTTAATAAATCTTTCTTCTATTCGTTACTAGATGGCGCTGTTGGGAGAGTTACAGAAAGATCTTGACACTTCTATTTCTGATACTTAATACCAGATGGCGCTAGTGTCATCGACTTAGGCGCGAAACACTTGGTGTCTTGTTGATTGGTGTGGAGTTATTTTGATTTTTATTATTTTAATTCTACAACGAGAAAATTGAGTTTGTGCCTTGCGGCATTATAAAAAAAGTCCTAACCAAAACTATATGCGTGGTTACCTTACCTCACAGCAGACGCACTCCCAATAGATAGTCGTTTAATATCTATTAGTTAGTGACTTGTAAACATACTCCCACAAATTCGATTAGGGCATCAGTGTAAATGTATAGAAATAAAATGAACCATTTCTATTGAAATCAAACGTATTCATAAACCGAACTTCACATCTCGATAGCTTTTGACAGGGTTTAGCACGCAAGTCTGCTGAATAAGCTTCCTGCTTAAGGAATCGCCCCCGAATGTTACAACTGGATATCTGACTTTCTGAGTGAACGATCAATGAGGATAGTCATAGATAGCTGCTTTAATTTTTATTAATTCCTGAGTTGCTTAGGGGTCTGTTCTCTCTGCGACTCTTTTCCTGTAGCACATAAATGACTTACTTTCTACCAGGTATTGTTGGGTATGTAGATGATAGCACAGTCACAGAGAGTATAATTTCCGATGCAAAAGCAATTTTATTAGCGCTGGCTTATGATAAAATACCGTTCTGGACTGCAAATACCACGACTCTGCATGTTGATTAACGAAATCGTATACAGTTTTTTAAAACTATCATTCATTTATTAATTGTTTTGAGTAAACCCCTATAATTTTGAATAGCCATCAAGAAGATGCGGTCGGTATCCCGCTTCCTTTCCCCTGCCACCTCTTACGACACCCACGTCACAGTCTAACTACTACTCTTCTCAGGCTGTGTGCTGCCCACGTGATGATTTGGGACAGTAAATTCTCTTAAGCCGCCGTTACACGGTGTCGTAAAAGAAACCAATAATGGTTAATGATAATTTTAATGAAGACAATTAATAATGGTTTTAATTAAGAGAATCTGATAATAATAATTTAACAACTTTCACCAATAGCTTACTAAATACAAAAAGCAATAAATTAGAATTATCTACGAAATTTGTTAGATATAATATTCAAATTTAAGAAAAGTTAAAAAAAACACGCATTGATTATGCCTTGCGATGATAATAGAGAGAATTATCCTGGTGATTCTAATCAGGGTAAAAGAATGAATTTATTTAAATATTGTATTGTCACTGGTCCTTGACGAGTTCAAACTTTCAAGTCAATCGACCGTCTACAAGTTAGTGAAAATTACGTTAAAAGATTCCGTGTAGATAGATAAATACAAGCAAATCTAATAAAAGCAGCGTGTTAAAAAGTGATATAACAGATATACAACTTCACACAGAAGCGGTGCACAATGCACAGAGATAAAGAGTATGCTGAAAAGGTACACCGAGTATTAAGGTTGTGAGAGGTGTGAGAGGTGTACTGCTACTCTAAAATGGACCTAGCTCAGCGTTATTGTACGATACCGCTATTAATTCTGCTACGGCCTTTAGACTGCATGTAAACTACTCATGATTTGTTATGTGATTACAAAAGAAATTAGGAAGAAATATTAAGTATATTTTCATATGAAAGTATATTATAATGAAAAGCGGAGAAACATTTATGAGGGGGAGTCTTGTACCGGCAAGCGCAGTTTTGGGCAACCCCTTACTAGATATGAAGAAATATAGAATCCTGTTGGCTTAAGACATTGTCTTGTATCAAATTATAAAGTTAGGACAGATCAGCAGTGGACTTGTGTAGATTATCATTGTCATAATTGAAGCCAATCTTTAATTATGACGATGATGATCATAACGTTAAAAATCGGATTGAAATAAAGATTACACGAATCTGCCCACCCCAAAACACGTATGTGAAGAAGTGATCACTGAAGCAAATATATTGGACGTTTGCTACTACTGTATCGTCACGGTCC